GCCCTCCGAGGCGTCGGCCGGGCGTGCTGCGGCTCGGTGGGCGCGACTATCTGTCTCTCCCCCCCCCCCCCCCAAACACACACACACCTCCACCTCCCTCTCCCTCTTCCTCCCTCCCTCCCTCCCTCCCTCTCCCCAGGCGGTGTCTGCCTCGTCATGGCGAGCTTACTTCTCGCCGCGGGCGCCGTCGGCTGGACGCTCAAGAAGCGGAGCGGCGGCGCGAGACCCGTAGATGCCTTGCCTCCCGGTAGAGGCCTTGCCCGAGCAGAGGCCTTGCAGAGGCATCCCTGTAGACTTGCACCCCCTCCGTGCCCACCGCCCGCGCCGCGCGCACGCCTCACCGACACGCCGTGAGTCCAGCCTCAGCCGCCTGCGGTACGCATGCCCCAGGCAAGAAGCCCGAGGTCGAGGTGATGGTGCCGGTTCGCGCCGTCGCCCTCACGGGTAGCGGCACAGCAAAGAGTCCGAAGCCCGGCGTGCGCGCGCGCTTGTTCCGGCGGCTGCCGGGGATCAGAGAGTCGGCGTGCTCGCCCGCCGGTGGCACCGCGGCCTCACACGCGGCGGAGCCGTGAGGAGCTCCTCGGCTCGCTCGTGCGCATCGAGGAGTTGCGTTTTGGCAGCCCCAAACAGCCAGCCGCCACTGCAGCGGCAGCCGACGACGCCAAGCTGCCGCCCTCCGGCGCGAGCGAGGCGGGGGGTGAGCGAGGGCGGACGATCGCCGTCGTCTCCCGTCGTGGTGCGCTCCGGTGGTGGTTGGGGGCGAGACTCTCCTCTCTCGCTTCGTGGGTGGGGCCCGCGGCGTTGGCGCCGGCGGGTGAGGCTGAGAGGCTGAGCAGTGAGCACTGACCAGCACTGTCGCGCTGTGGAAAACGATGGTGATCAGGCGTGGTTCGAAGCATCCAGCGAGAAGGCGAGTCGGGGCGAGCCGGGAGAGGTTCTCGCTGGGAGAATGATCTCGCGGCGAGACGTGGCACAACGCCACGAGCACGTCGTTGTCTTCGAGAGTATGATTTTTTATGGTATGTGAATTCTCTCATGAATGTATATGAGTATGTGTGCCAAGTGCCATCCGAGACTAATATTTGCGCAAAGCGATCTCAACGATCACAAATATACTTCAAGTGCGGGCGGATCCGTCGACTCTGGTCGGCGAATTACTTAGTTTTCGCGCGGCGTGCGGCGCGCTCATGGCTCCCAGCCAGCGTTCAGCAGCTTTCTTGCTGGCTACGCTGCTCGCCTACTGCAAGTTCCACCTCACGTCCGCCGTCGGCAGCGCGAGTAGCAAGCGCAGGTGCCAATCGCCTACGGAGATGTTGGCGAATGCGGCAAAAGTGCTGCACTGCACGCCTGAAGGGGTGCACCACATGGATTCTAAAGATCAGTACGACGACCTTATCAGAGATCTATGGGCTGGCGACTTCACACAAAGTGGACGGGGCGATTCATTCGCGCCAATCCCATTCAAGTGGAGCTGTTCGAGAACATGCAGGTCGACGAATTGACTGCATGGCCTCGCTTTGAGGGCGTTCTCAGCTGCCTGTTTCGGGCTCGGTCGCAGAAGATCGTCCCGCTTGAGACCGCCGCCCTATCAGTCAGCTTCAAGCACTACCATGTGGCGCACGTGCTCTGGGACACCATGTCGTATTCCACCAAAGCAGTCATGTCCCGCAAATGGACAGAGGCCTAGGCGCTGCCGCTCCTGCGCGAGCAGACGTCCCACCTCGACACGGGCGGCGGAGAGGGGAGGGCGGCGCTCGCCGTCGACTGGCGCTTTGCGCGCGCGGCGGCGAGCCAGCTCTCCGGTGCGCACGACAGATCTGCGGCGGGGCTCGCTGCGCCTAGATGCCGGAGCGCAGACGCCTAGTTCTCCGCCTCGAAACTGGACTCGAGGCTTGGCTGCGGGAAGCCGCCGCCGCACCCTCACTCCCGCCGCTTCATGCACTAGGCTCACTTCGGCGGCTGCCCTCGCGGCGGGCGCAGTCGCGAGCAAGGCTGCGGGCACCGCGCTCCGCGGAGGCTGTTGGAGACTGCCCGAGATCACACCCGAGATGACCCGAGATTGGCCGAGGCAGGCGCCGCTGCTGGGGCGGCCGCGGGAGTAGCGGGCAAGGCCGCGGCAGGGGCGACCGCGAAGGCCGCCGGGGGCGCCGTCGCGAGCTCCTCCCTCGCCGGCAAGCTCGCCGCGCCGTTTGTGACCAAGGCAGCCACCGCGGCGGGGGCGGCGGCGGCGGGCGCCGCGTCGGGCGCCGCGGCGGGTCCGGTTGGCGTTGCGGTTGGTGCGGGCGTGGGGACCGGCGTCCTAGATGCTGGATGCACTCCAGTTGGCACTCGGGCAGGCACAGTTGTCCTCCTTCGTACGAATGGGGACTCTGATGCGCCCCCGACGCAGGATCGGCGTCGACTTTGCGCTCGCCAAGGGCGTCGAGCTCGCGAGGAGGCGCGACTTTGAGGCGGACACGGCGGCCGCGCTCGGCACGGCGCACGCCGAGTGGCGCGAGCTGATGGGGGCGGAGCTCGCGAGGTGATTCGCCGAGATCGACCGAGATTGACCGAGAGTGGAGGTGGTCGGGGCGGTTGTGAGAGCAGCGTGCGCCCCGAGAGGGGGCTGGTGAGCTGGCGGGGAGGAGGGGAGAGGAGGCCACGTGCAGTCACCCACGCGCCGCCTGGCTTGTGTGCGCTGCAGGTACATTGATGTGCTCGTGGACGATGCCGTGCAGCTGACTGCGAACGCGCAGACCAGTCCTCGTGAGTGACGTGTGAGGAAGGGCGGGCTTGTGAGCGGGGTGTGGCGGTAAGTGTAGAGGCGTGCGCGATGAGATGCGATGAGGCACGGGAATATATATCGGTGTGAGCAATTGTTTGGCCTAAGCACAATATTCTCGAATATCTCCGAGAATATAGATGGTCCCGCGCACTTTCGTATTCGAGAATATTCTCGAGAATATAGATGCCCCGGCGCGGCTTTTTCTCAAGAATCTATGAGTTTTCTTCAGCCCTTGACCTTGGTTGACCTCGAGTCTCAAGATATTCTTGAATATTCTCGCCGTTACATCGCGGCGTCTAGAACGGTCTTGACTAGAGCTTCTCGAAACAGCTCTTTTGCCCCCTCAAAAGTAGGTTTTGGGTCGATGCAGACGGAAATCTTTAAGTTTTGGACGTTCCTGAGCGGTTTGGGAGCACAAACCTCTACTTTAGAGCGATTTTTGGCGTCCGCTGACCTCTCGCGTGGTGAAAATATTCTCAATATTCGAGAATATTCTCGAGAATATAGATGGTCTGGCGAGAATATAAGCAAAAGAATATAGATAGTACTTGGCGAGAAAAACGTGCTTAGGCTAAGCAATTGTGTATGCCAGGCCGAACGAAGGCTGGCTCAGCCGCCTCCCGGCGTGGACCCCCACGCTCTACTGGTGCTGGTGCAGCGAGCCGAAGTACGCCGAATCCGTTTTTTTCAGCTTGTCGCTCTTTTTTATGTTCGATCGAACTAAAATCGAACAAAAAGAAAACTGGGCTGGGACCCAGTCTTTGCTCGCGTTCACTCCACCGTTCCTCTCGTTGATGATCTGCATCCTCGCGACCATCGTTGCCCTTCCCACCGTATGTGCCTCTCTTCCTCCCGACTCCTGCGTGCACGCCAGATTGGGCGGGCGGCGGGCGGTCGTCGGACCGGCGGACGCTTCTCGCGAGTCTGTCACCGAGCCGCCGGATGCGGCGACCATCCCTCGCGAGATCCTTGAGGCGACGGTCATAGATGGCTCAGACGCGGTCAAGCACTTCAACCTCGAACGGCACTCGCCTGAGGCGGCGCTCTCCGCGCCGCCCGACTTGACCGCGAGTGTGGGCTCGACCAGTCCGTGCGGCGCGCGCCGCACCATGTGGGGCGTCGAGCGCGAGTACAACCGCGGCTGTGTAAGCACCTCTGCGCCGACGCTGCTGCTTCTCCTCCTCGCAGCCTGCGGCAGTGGGCTGCTGCTGCTCCGCATCCTCGCAGCCGGCGGCGGGCTGCTATGCAAGTGGGCGCAGCGCTTCGGCGCAACCAGCGGCGGCGGGCTGTTGGGCATGTGCGCGCCGCGCTCCGGTGCAGCCTTGGGGCAGCGAGCCAGCAAGGCGGTCCGTCCCCGGCTGAGCAAGAGTCGCGGCTTGGTGGCCTTCCTGCTGCTGCTCTGCTTCCTCCCCGTGGCTCGGGCTGGCTCGGGCGAGGCTGGCTCTGGCGAGGCTGGCTCTGGCGAGGCTGGCTTTGGTGAGCAGGGCTCCGGACTTTGGGGGGTGCCGCCGCCGCTGCCGCCTCCGTCTCCGCCCTCGTACCCGCTCGCATACTACACCGTCACCACGACGCCGGGATCGTGGCCTAGCGAGGTGAGCTGGGACTTCTGGTGCGGCGGCGAAGTCGTCCTCTCGTCGGTGCCCTACACCGGTTCAGACGAGTGTCGGTGGGGGCTCTGCCCAGACTTCCAGACCGAGTACGGCGTCTCCCTCTCGCCCGGCGTCGAGTGCGAGCTCGTCATGAATGACTCGTACGGCGACGGCTGGGACGGCGCTAGCTGGTCGGGCCTCGGGCAAGAGGGCCTCACCGTTGCCTCTGGGTT